AGTCGGAAAACACTCGGAATAGATATCTTACATATCTTAAAGAAGAAACTGATACAAAAGGGTTTTTATTCGTTTATAAAAAGTAAAAAACAGACCTAACGAACTATGTCATCAACAAACTATGACACAGCCCTCTCTTTACTCGCAAAGATGGGAAATGGGTGGAAAATGGGAAAATTCCCAACTGCTCCCCTCTCCATATCATATGAAGGGCTATTTTTGGGTGCACTCGTTACTGTTATGAGCTCTGCGAAAAAAAGAGCTTATGAACGATCTTGATTCCCCATGTTATCGTACAACATGCAGTCAGTTCATTGTCAATCTACCAACTAAGCAATCAATCTACACCACACAGTCACACTAATCTCCTTCCCATTCCTCCGGATTTTAAACCATGGATTGTTGAACATCTCTCAGAACCAAAATTTTGAGGTTGGGCAAGAATGAGTAACTAATTAAATAAATGCAATATGGCCTCAACAGCATTATCACCAACTATTTACGAAAGTTTTAAAGTGCTACAGTTTGTCAGATCCTGGAGAAAAAAAAATTGAAAAAGTAGTCAACTCAAAGGACTTCCTTATGCTAACCCATCGTGGACACCAAATTGGGAATCCACCTACTACACATGGCCACCCTCCCTTCCCTTGCTTTTCACTTTCATTGGGGTACAGTGATAACACGCAAAGCAAACGACATACGGAAAAACGAGATTGCGTTATGAACTTTCAATTATGCCGAGTGGGAACCACTCCCCAGGGTGTCTTCTTTCTTCGCTTCTCCTGGTTGCCGGTAACCTTGTACCTCAGAAGGGTCTGTTATGGGCTTCACATCACGTTTTCTTTTCCTTAAGCTAAAATCAAATATTGGTAATGTTAACGTGCTGAAGTTAGGATGTAACTCATTTATCCTTTCACAGATGCATTTCTGGGAAGGATTATACAAACAATTTTAGACTTGCTTTTTTGTCAGTAGGTCTGTTAATTTTTTTATTTCAGCACGTCACTGAGTTCTTCATAAGACGACGCAACAGCACGTTTTATTCGCGATACAAAAAATTAACCCCTTCTAGCTCAAAAACATAGAATAAAGTAATGCTTTGAGACATGAAATTATTCACAATATTTTATTGTCACTCAAGAAGCCTCGCCAAATGTTTAGTTTTTGCAAAATAATTCTGCCTCGGGCATTATCCATTGATATACGAGCCGCGTGATGGGTTTACGAACTTGTCTTTGCAACTAAGTGAAAATGACTTCAAATTTAAAAAAAAGGATTTCTTACCAGAATATTAGCAAACCAATGAGGATGATGACAACCACACCAATAACTACACCAATCACAATCCATTTCCAACTATCGTCTGCTGGTTCAGCTGGTCCCGCTGTTGGTGACTCTGTAGTTGGGGTGGGTTTGAATAACGCTTCTATACCAGAGATGTTTGCTCCTATGGCTTTCTCGATGTCGGGCTTGTAAGCTATCATAATGGCCGCCAAAGTGTCACGAGGAAGAACTGAGCTATTTCCGATGAAGAGAAAATCAGGCTGCAGTACGTAAAACGCTACATGGAGAGAGTCTGATGAGTTCTTGGGATAACCAGGCAGGAGATGAACTTTCTCATAGTCGTAAAGGTCGTTATAAGAAGAACGTCTGGAGAGATAGAACGGCAAACGCATAAAATCAAAACACTTTAGCGCGTTAACGTTAGCAAATAAAACTAGACGGAAAAAAAAAATAAACAAACAAAAAATTAATCAGAGTAGATAATTACATAACACAAAAATAATAACAATAAATAGGACACTCGTTTTAACGCAGCATTTTTTCGTTTCCTTCTTTAATCTCAAGATTTACGAAGAAAATCAAACAAGATATTTTTTTTATATCTACAATGCCGACATGCCTTGTATTGTTATAATTATTGATGATGATAATGATAATAACAATAAAAATAACAATAGAGACAGAACAAAAACAAAACCGAAAAGGGAAAGAAAACAGGAAAACAAACCATTGACAAACTTATCGAACAAACTTGTAATTGAACCAGCAACAATAACATATCAAACCTTAGACACAATTACCTCTTCCGCCGTGAATCTTTAAGTCCACATATTGTCCTGTTCTTATTGCAGAAATCTGATGCGAATATCGCTACTTTTGTTTTAAACGACTTGTCTCTATCATAGTCCCATTCAATCTGCCAAAGAAAACATGAATAATGACGACAATACTTCGTTCAGCAAACAGCCCTCAAGGTGAATAATAAACTAATCTTTCCTTAATTACAATTAAAAGCACTGAGAACTTTTTGCGGGTGTCGTTCATGAGAGTTTTGTTCGAGTAACGGCCTGTTTGCTGTTTGAAACTTGAAACTGTCTGTCTTGCTGTCGTAATCTGCATGGTCTTTGTCAACTCCTACAAGAAACTACAACCGAACACAGATAATCATTTCCATTCAAACTTCTCTTGTTAAGAAGTATCAGGGTGCTTTTGAAAGTGTGATATATGCACGCCTTGTGTCTTGTGTTTTCCCTGTGACTTGTTGGCTATGATATCGTTGTCGAACAAAAAAAGTTACTTACCCCACTTGGAATTGAGAACTGAACAGCTTCTTCCTTTTCGGATTCTGATGCGTTACGGGGCTCAGGAAGTAGTAGCTTAGGAGGTGGCTGGGTTTTATTCAAACCTAGGTGGTTACAAAAAATCTGACGATCAATTGGATACATGGGGACAATGGTATTCGGGTACTTTGTGTTCCAATTTAATCTGATCTAGCTTTGAACTGCACATCTCGATTTTTCTTTTTAATGAAACAGCTGCGCGCCTTTTTCGCGTCTTCAATTCTAGTTTTCGTACCATTTGTTTAAACGCATCATGTAACTATACATTCCACAGCCAAAACTGGGCAAGTGACGTTCCCCAGTTCTCAATACTTGTGTCCAGGAAGATAGAGGGTTGAATCAAGAAGAGAGAGGCTAGACAATTGTTTATACACAATCCAGTCCTTCCCGAATCCAGCTTTCAGATATGAATTGCGTTTATTTTGTTCTCTCAAAAAATAATAAAGTATATCTCTTTCTAATTAACAGTAATTAGTTACCTTGGCATTTTCCATCAAAGTAATACGTGTCTTGAACACATTCACACCTGTAAGAGCCACGGGTGTTGACGCACCTCTGGTTTTTATCCGGACATTCGTATGTGTCATCATCTAAACACTCGTTGATATCTTGATAATAGCAGCGAGATGCAATTATTAGTAATTAAAGGCAAAAGGCTCAAGAGAACACAATTTATATAATGGTAATTTAGTGCAGCGGAGAACTTAATGAAAGAGGTTACGTGCAATGTACTGTTGAACCCTAAGGATTGGGTAGGAATACTGCTATCCGCTTAATCTATTGCTCTTAAGAGTGACCAAAGATGTATTTCTCACTACAGTATTAAAATGTTTTCGAGCAGAGGGGAAATGGGAAGATAGAAAGATATCAAATGTGGGATATCTTTGATTTACCAATAAATTCAAAGAACAAAAATTACAAGAAATGTATAGGACAGTGTAGAGAATTAGTTTCTGATTAGGAGAGGTATAAGGTTTCAATGCTGCGAAGCGGAGGTGAGGCACCCCGTTAACAAGGAGTGGAGACTTTGCCAATAAGTTTTCAATATGGTATGAGTATATCGCAGAATGCGAACAATTACCTTCACACCCGTAGCCATCTTTTTTCAACTCAAAACCTTTCTTACACGAACAGATATAACTTCCAGCGGTATTTGTACAAGTCTGATCGCAACGATGGAGGTCTTTAGTTGGATCACATTCATCAAGGTCTACAGAGATAAAGGAGAAAAAAAATACTAACTTGGCAATAGAACAAAATGTATTTCGGTTAGGAGTGATTATAACATTTTGTATTGAAAAAAATGGGCCACAGCGCCTATTTTTGTGTTCGAACTTGGATAGCAACAGACGAAACAAAGCAAGTACATTTGTGGATTATCATCAAATGGAAACTATCCTTCAAGTAGTCACCCAAAGTGAAAATGAAACAGGTACAAATCTCACGTCGCTTTTCCTGGTTGATCTTACCAACGTGTTGGTAGTGTATCGGTAGTGTGTTGGTGGTATGTCGATAGTGTTTCGGTAGTGTGTGGTAGTGTGTCGGGAGTGTGTGGTAGTGTGTCGGGAGTGTGTCGATGCTGTGTCGATTATGTGTCGGTGGTGTGTCGACAGCGTGTCGGCTGTCTGTCGGTGGACCGGCGCGTCAGCCGACGCGCTAGTGGGATCGG